TATCCCAGCTCTGATACCACAAATTGTAACACCCTACTACTTCTTGTAACATCCTACTACTTCTTCTCGTACTATTGGAACCATCATCACATTATATACTCATTAAACCATAGGTTTTAACTTCACATTAAGACTTGGACATAACACTAGCATACGGGTTACATCACTTGCTTAGGAAATTCAAGCTAGTTTTCCCAAAGCATCCAAAAGCATAACACCGAACGATGCAAAGTTTGAGTTTAAAACAAAGTACAAACCAACATAGTAGTTTAACATTCAGTGGGTACACAAACTTAAAAGCGTTAAAACATTTAGTTCGACTTCAAAAGTGAAAACATGTGGAGAGTTCAGTTCCGCCGCACACCTTTCAGCCATCCGGCTGACTTCACTGGTTCGACCGAGGCTTCTGTTGTTGCTTTGGCTCTGAAAGAGAAAAATATTGGCGGGGGTGAGACGCCACTCAATGAGTAATCAATAACCCAATATATACTCCAGTTGCGCACGGTGATCAGGTACACCAAGGGCTTAAGTTCACTGAAAGAATCTAGTAGCTTAAATGGTACTTTACCCAACTATGTATGCAAGGTTCATTAACCAATCTAAGCAGTTCTCATATCATACACACTCGCCCTTTAGTTACTCATATCAAACCCTATCCAGATAACAAAAAACATTCACTAACACATCATTTGGGTATCACCATATAATCAACAACATATGGAGGCATGTAACAACTACACAATCTCATAATGAATCATTGCATGAACACATCACAGTAAAGCCTTCATATAAATACGTCAATCTCAATAACAATCTATTGAACTCATCGTAGGAAACATCACGTAACCACATTACAGAAAATCCTTGTAAAAAGGCTCAAACACAAGCATAGTTAGCTAGGTTATGTACATTTTACTTTTAATGCCAAGTTATGCACTCCCCGGGATCTCGTGAACTCATAATCTCGTGATCTAGTAATCTTGTATGCACAAAGTGCCAAATCTCATAAACTCGTGGGCACAAAGTGCCATATCTCATGAACTCGTAATCTCGTGGGCACGAAGTGCCATATCTCGTGAACTCGTAGCCAGGCCTGGCGATACTCCTTATAGGGAGTTCTCGTATAACTTTTTTCTTCTCTTTTTCGTTTCATGAGTGCATAATAAGGAGCCATTATGTTTTTATTAGGTGATCACGTAGTTCATGGGTTAGACAATACTCATGTAAAGCATCTCGTCATAAGCCCGTAGGCACACATATCATATCATATACTCATTGATGCTATACACAATCATCTCAATTGCACATCAATACATTCTTCACATAGCTCATTCATCAATGCACGTTGAAAATAGCAAACTCATACACATCCACGTTATCAATTCTCATCGTATAAGCTTTTACTCATTCATAGTTAATTTATCGATCTATCACAAGTCCACGTATCCGGGCCGCTTCATGACCCGAATACCATGCCCTTACTAAAATATATATTAGGTTAAGAATTACTCACAGTACGATTTTTATTCAGCTACTCCCTTTTGCTTCGATGATTCTCATGGTTGTTGCATTCCTTTACACAAAATCAATTAATCACGTTTAATAGGCTAGCAACTCACCCATATCACTTAAATAATTTACTCAATTAAATATCATATCGTTAAAGCAACATGATTAGCATACATCGAAGATTCAAAATAAATTACTTAACTAACCTAATCCATCAAGGATTCCCAAAAACATCTCCATTACTCCACTCCCACTCCGTATATACTTGATTGCTTAATTATCTTTATACTTTCTTTAGTTCAATATCATATGGGACAAACAACTCCCAATCCCAATCAATCAAGGTCTCGTACCACACATAAACAACCATGTATAAGTAATATACTTCTATTTATATATATTTCCATCCCACCAAAGTTTATGTTTCCCACAAACTGAAACCCATTTTCTCTAACTTAATGACCACCCACCAATTGAGATTCGTTTAAATTTCTAGCTTTCCCATGCAACTCATTCCTTCTCATCTTCCCAATTAATCTCTTCTTACCCACACTTTTCAAGATAAGTCCCATGACCAATTCATAAAATACCCCAAATCTCCTCTACTTTAACACATGTGGGCAATCACGCCTACTAACACCATTTCCCCACTCTCGTCACCCAGACCACATGTACATGCATATGACTACTCGGTTCTTTACTGGCCATGGGATGCATTTTAGAATCCCTACAAATGCTTATTTAATCCAAGTAAAGAATCATGCATGCAAACTTTGGGCTGGTTTCAGCATGCATAACAAGATTCAAGAACAAATTATAGTTAGTTTCCCTCAAGAAAATGATCTCTAAGCACCAGTATCATCTCTTCATCATCCACCTTAAATAAATTAACTAAGAAAAGGGATCACCATACCTTATATGACCACCAACCCCTTGTTATTCCCCTTGCCTAGCTGAGCTCTAAAAGAAACGATGGTGGTGATATTGATGAGAGGGACTCATTACTGGTGGCTCTCTCTCAAGAAGGAACTGGTTACTCTCCCCTTTTAGAATCAGTCACCTAGCTACATGTACTTTCTCCAAAGCAATTGTAGAGATAAAGGTGGTAATGGTGAGGAGGCTGGTTGATGATGGCGGTGTAGTGATGGGAATGGTTTTGGTTCTTTTATCCTCACTTGCCTCCAGAGATATGAAGTGGTGAAAAGTCTCTTTATCTCCTCGGTTCCTAGGGAAAGCATTTATCCCATACCATTTATTTCCCAAGCCAAAGAAAACCCTCTAACCACGTGTGCTCTACTGCTCATGTGTGGGAAATATAACTTCTCATTTAAAGATACAAGTCAAAACAGCTACTCAAAGGTTCATGAACCTAGTGGTATCGGTTCCTTTGCTCAACCGCCAGGGGTGGGTGGGTTTGGCTAACTTGGATGGGTTTGGAATTATAGAACTTATCATGCTGAGTTTAGCTATATGAAGATGTACTCTACATGTTTTACATTCATCTCATTAACCCTATGAACGAATAGAAACTGTGGCCAACACTTGAATTATAACCTACAAGATTTACGTATTAAGCGATTCGTGAGGGTGGGATATTACATAACCAACCATTTTACAAATAGTTGTCGAAGTCTTCATTTATCAGCGACTATGTACATCATGGTTGTTTAAGGGTAGGGTACCTCCAACCATTTCATAAATGGTTGCCGAAAATTTCATTTATCAGCAACCATGTACAAAATGGTTTCTTAAGGATATGGTATCAACAACTATTTCAGAAATGGTCGTCAAGGTTTTTATTTATCAGCAACCATTTACATTATGGTTGCTTAAGGGTACGGTATCACCAACCATTTTGCGTATGGTTGTTGAAATTTAGATTATGGGCAACCATTTTAGTACTGGTTGCGCTAGAGTTCTGTATCAGCTACCATTTTTTGAAAGGTTGGAAAAACCTGGTTATAAGCAACCATTTTTGTATGGTCGCCATGAAAATGCTAGCTGAAAGTCTTTCTTCTTGTAGTGTCATAGAATTAAATTAATGTAGAAAGTTGAGATAATGAATGTACTAAATTAAAGATAGCAACAATCACTGTTATCTTGCAACCAAGTCCTAGTGCACATTAGAGCTTCAACTGTAGATTGATGCAACCTGCTCCTATGAGGATCTAATAATCAAACTTCAAAGCTGAAGACCGATTCTGATGCAATATAAGTGACATGAACAACGAGAATGTCTATTGCAATCTCTTGCAAGATGGGGGTATATACTATATAGGGCCATTGATCATTTGATCTTCTAGCACATAAGTATATGAAAATCAGGTGTACAAGACAGGATATCCACCCGCGACAACCATCGGCCGACGATCGAGAGGAAAAGGAAGAGAGAGGAGAGAGCTCCTCTCATTACTTTTTTTTTATAGTTACTCTTTTTTGGAATTGGTTTCAAAATTCGGCTTGATTATCTTATTACAATTAGTCATACTAATTGTGCAGTAGGGGACATCTTATCAAAATCGTCATTCAAATAGGGCATCTAACTCAGCTGTAACACATGAAGTCTTAGACTTCTTCCCTCGACTAAAAAATAAGTCAAAACCTTGATATGAAGTACTAGAACTTGCAAGCAGGTCATTCCCAATTGCAGCAGGATTGTTACCAATCTTGCTTGAATGGTATTCAACCACCAAATCTTCCCAAAATGCTTCTTATTTCATTAGCCCTCAATGATGAACTATCACTTAGACCCAAATTTTCAGCATAATACTCGACAATGTCAAGTTTATAGTGTGGGGTCTAACACAACAACGACCAAAATATGTTGGATCACTTCCCCATATTTGTTGAACTTTGCGCACATTGATTCGACCACACGTTGAATAAACTTATCGGGATCAAACATCCATTCACATATTCTAATCCTCAAATCACAAATGCTAGGAAAACACGAGTTCGCAGTTGGATATTTGGACCCCGAAAACATGTAAGAAATCAGAGTAAAGCAGTGGAGTTTTTCACATACAATCGAAGCAAACAACCAATCATCATTGGAAGGGAAAGAATCATATTGAGGGTCGTGTTGTTCTAGTCTGTTAAATACTTCTTTGTAAGGAATAAAAATGGGCAACATTAGAAATGTGAAATTCCACCTTGTAGGGGCAGTCCAAAATCAATCTCTTCTCACATGGAACACAAAATTGTTTACTAGTCCCTTGAAAAAACTCAAATCTCTCGAGCGTGGCCAACAAAATAAAACATGTTATCCCTTATTCTTTCAATACCATCATTCACAACATTTGATTCATCTTTTTTCACTATCAGATTCCAATATAGCATAACACCCCAATATGAAAATAATACAATACACCCTTCTTCAACATATACGATAAAGCCAGTTTTTCCTTAATTTTGGATATCATTCCATCCTTTGTGCTACAAATACAATGATTCGCATCCATATAGAAGCCGGCTCCTATTTTAGAGAAACCAAACGATCAACATAGTTTTCACCGGGGGAACAAATTATTAATCTCCTTCTCCAACATAAAATTAACATTAACTGGTTGTCCTAGGAACAAAAGAGAAGCCCATTGACGAAAGATTTGGAATTGTCAACTGCCTTGCCAATTTCATTGTACAGAGTTTTCAGTGTTTCACCCATTGACGTATGGGCACGTCAGGCGGCAGACAGGCCCACCTCAGATTTCAGCCAATCTAAAAACGCCTTCTCGCCTTCATTCTCCTCCCCCAAAAATTTAGAGAAACACATAAAAAAGCCAAAAATAGGAAAAGCCAAATAAAAAGAAGCCTTGCTTTCTTTCTTCCTTCCTTTCCATCCTCCACCTGAGCCTCTATTAAGATCCGATCGATCGATCCTACAGCCATTTCCCCTTTCCCTTCTCCCTTCTCCCTTCTCTTCCGGTTTCTGCTTTCCGCTTCCCTCTCCTTCTCTCGCTTCATTCAATTCATATATTGGCGGCGGTTGGCGGTGGATGGCAAGAACCAACAAGTATGCCTCTATTAACTTCAATCATGTTTATGAGAAGAATCTGACCAACGGCGGTGCTGCCAACGGCAACGGCAACCACCCATCCTCCGCTCCATCGCTCTACTCCACGATCGCTTCTCCCAACAGCTTCAACAACCCCAACAATCTCTACAAGAATCATCTCCCTTCCGCCCGCTCCCATGGCCGGATGCTCGTTCTGACCCGACCCGCTACCAAACCCGTCTCCGCCCCGGCTTCCCCTTCCCCAATTGTCTCCCCTCCGAAACAGCAGCCGACCCCGACGCCGTCTGAGGTAGCTTCCGTTCAGGAGTCGCTTCGGGCCGACCCGAGTTCGGATAAGATTTCGCTTCGTCCTTTGGGGCGGACCGGAGGCGGTTCTTTGGTCTCTCCTCCTGCGATTCTCGGAACCCCATCTCCGATTGTGGGTCAAGAGAAAGAAAAGGAGATCGGAGTGGGATCGCCCAAGCCGGACAAATTCGTGCCGCCGCATCTTAGACCGGGTTTCGTCGCGAAGCAAGATAAGCCCGGACCCGAGGCGCTTCTTCCCGGGAGGGAAACGGGTCACAGGCAGTTTCAGAATCAGCAACAGGGGCATGTCGGTTCTCCGGGCAGATATGGAAATGATGGCCGACCGAATTCTGGCGGTGGTGGGTATGATAGGACGAGGAGAGCTGGAAGCGGCGATGCCGAGCCTGGTTTGTTGAATCGGCCCAGATCCGGTGGGAGTCGACCTAGTTCCCGTGGATGGTATTGTTTTCCCTCCTATTTGATCCAATCTCTGCAGCTTGAATTTTGGGTTGCTCTTGTCTTATGCCTTCCTCCTCTATTGTTAGAAGTTCCAAATGTTTGGTCGTTATCTCATTGTTGCTCTGTTTCTGAGCCAAATGAGGATCTTTTGAGCTTTTGCTTGATATGCATCTGCTTTTCTCCAAACATAAAGCTCTCCATTTTCGCCTGTCAGTGCTTAGTTGTTCTGCTCTTTAGAAGGCTAAACTTTGAATCTTTCCTCTCTGGTATGAAAGATATGATCTTCATATCGGAAATGCAAGGTTGGGCACAAAGAATTCTGGGATCGATACGTTCCTTTCATATGTCTATTAATTTGGAAGGCCTTGTTGCCATGGATTCCTATTTGTGTGTAATAATAACTTTGGATAGGTTACTTCATGCATAGAATGTAAGTTGGTAGCGTTTAGTAACTTGCACAGTTGGTAATCCTTCTTCCCGAATTAGTTGGAGTTGAGGTTGATTTAATGATCTGATTGATACCCCGAAACAGAAAAACGTTTCCCACTTCAGCCATTTGCGTTATTGAGCTAGGAATCCTATATCCAGTTTGGCCATCTACTTTCTTGTTTGGCTTGTGGGTTATGTTAATCAATCCTTGTATGCTTGTTGTCATTTCGGCTTTTCCCCCATATCTGGTCATTTGATGCTTCGGTTTATGTAAACCGTCTGTATTAGGACAAGCAGTAAATGCAGAGCACAATGCCAAAATCAATATAAGATATGCTGTATCTAGTATCCTGTTCAAGCTACAAAATTGATTTTGCATTATAGGTTGAGATTTATGCATTACCGAGAGCCATGCTAAGCAACTGAACAAACTTTGGTGTTGCAGATGCTGAGTGCCAAGCTGCATTATTTCTGAGGTACGAGCTTCTTTCTGGCTACTACGGTGAAGGATTAGATACTGGTTCCCTGATACTTTGGCTTGGCCTACTACTTCAATTCATAAACAGACGACTGCTGTTAGAACTCGAGGAAGATAGGAAATTTAACCTGGTGGACACCTTCTGGATTTCTTGACTCCCAGAGTGATAGGAAGACCAAGTTCCAGGGGCTCCAAGGGGCTGAATCATCTTTCCTGCCTTTGTAATTTGATCTCTTACCCACCCTCTGTCGAAAACCAACTTTGAGTTCCTTTGTAGTGTTGGAAGTTCTACTTCTGTGTTTACTTTCTCTTTTGTTTGTTCTGTTCTGTTCGAAGTCGATTGCTTAACTTTGGAGTGGCGGTAAGCTATCTTCTTTTTATGCCGCCCACTGTGTTACTCTTCCAGTCATGGATTCAATGTACAAGTTCTTCGCTAATGTTCGTTTTATTAGTTAGAAGATTCTGTGAAATGGAGGGTCGTGTAATGAACAGGAAGGAACAGCAGGAAAGTGTGGCTAGTTCACAAATTCCTTCCAACCCAGATCGTGAAATGTGGTTTCTTCTTCTGTGGACAGCAAATGAATATTGTCATGGATAGATCCACGTTTACAATACAGCAGGCCTTAAAGACGAGACGTTGCAATCAATGAGATGGGACTAACGTGAATAAGAAAGAACATTACAGGTGGTGGATAAGCTTAATGTCTTTGTCAGCGATGTTCGTTTTAGGTAAAGTAGCGTTGTCATTAGCGACAGCAGAACGGCAAACTTTAACTCAAGTCTTTGGCTTATTCTAGACTTCTAGACTCCCTAAGAACAGGATACGGTGCATAACTATGAGTTATATATTCGTCGGTAACCCAACGAGAGGCGTCAATCTGGGGAGGAGACATCTAACGGTCGAGGTCGGCGCGGGATGGGGCAGGGGTACTTTTGTCCTTTTCTTAATTTAATTCTTTCCTTCTTTATACCTTTTCGAATATTTCGACTAAGATGGAATTAGATTTAAGAGAGAGAATGAGAAGAAAACAGAACGATGGAGAAAATCTCCGAAGAATTAGTCGACGACGAGAACGTCTGGTGGATGACGCGATACTTATTTTAATTGGCGGCAGGCTTATTTGTAGCAAGTTATTAGTTGTTCTTCCTCTTTTTCTTCGAGTTGTTAGGTTTTCTTCTTCTCCCTCTTCTGTTGTTGAAGTTTTGGCGCGATTGCTTGTGTTGAACTTTTGGCTGCTTGTTGTTTGCTCTCCGTCGAGGTAATTCATAGTTATATTAGTATTCTATGTTTGTGTTGATTTCGTTCTTTAATTTGTCACCGATTTTGTGTATTCGTATGATTTAACTGCGTCTTCTCTTTTGTTCTCTCTGTTTTGGATTTTAGTTATGGACACGAATGAGAAGGGCGTGGTGGTGGAGCATTATATCACTAGTGACTAAGTCCCAAGAGGGTCATGTACATAAGTAAGAAGTCCATGGCCATGAGACAAGAGGACCACGACCCCTTTGCGAGACTGCCGAGACACCACATGCTCATCAAAAGACTAGCACAACATGAGATTTGAAACAAGACCGGGTGAGGCAAGCTACACTCCAAGAGAGCACCTAGGTGGTTGAAGGAGTAACCACCACTCTTAGAGGAAGCATGGAGTGGTTCTTTTTGGTAGTTATCCAATAAGCGATTTTCTAAGATAGTTACTCCCTTGGCTATAAATAGGAGGAAGGGTCGACAGAGAGAAAGGTTACACAACCAAACAATTGACGTCTACGTCAAACTTTATCCTTTATACTGCAAATGTTGTCATAGTTGTAGTTTGGAGCTCTCGCTGAACCTCCATAGGAGTAGGAGCAATTTAATTTAGATCTCGTTCCCAAAATTTCATCAAATCAAACACTCTCGTTCGAACTTTGTTTGAAAATGTATGAATTGTGTCTTAGTAATCGTAGTTCAAAAAAGTCAAAAGTGCAATTCAATTTAACGCAAATTTTCTAGTCGAAAACATCAAGATAAGGCATCTATGCAATGGAAGGACCGAAGGAGAGCGAGGAGTTAGGTCAGCAGCGCTGCGGAAGGAAATTGCAATGGAGGAGAGAGAGGATATGAATGGATGAGAGAGAAAGGAAAGTGATGAATGATAAGCTTGACCGTAATTCAAATTCTTAATCAATAATTATTTTTTAATTAACCTAATATGATTATCTAATAGTTTGGTGTATTTTACCCCAACTCGAACATGCCCAAATCTCGATTGACACCTCTAGCTCTAATGTGACTAGAATCTCCCCTGAAAGTATATCTCTTGTCCCTGACATCACGAGACTGTAGAATTATCTGAACCTACGTTGATAAATTCCGCCAAATGCACTTACGACTTAACAACCATAAGGGTCTATCGTGGTGGTTGATCATCTCGTTCTTTGATCATTAAGTTAGAAGTTCGATCTCTATCTATGAGAACAGAGCACGCCCTATGGCTCCCTATATATGTTCGTGCGATCACAACTAATGAGTGTAATATGGTGATATATTATAGGATTATAACTAACTAATGGATTGCCCTAAACCTTCAATTTTAAACCCTAATCATAAATTTCAAATCATAAACCCTTGACCTTAACCTTAAATTCTAAATCCTTCGAATGAAGGAAATATTGAATGACTTTTGTTTAAATTTATACATTTTCTTGTTCCTCATATCACAAGTGACAATTGACATCGTTTTGATTTGAATCGCCTGCTTAGAATGATGGTTATGAGGCAAGTCTAACGAGATTCGGATTGGGTGATATTTGAGAATTTAGGGATTGAGAATATAGAATTAGGGATTTGGAGAAGAATTGGGGGAAGAAAAATTGCCGACGGCCGGATTAGGAAAAGAAGAGAAATTGAGAGGATTTGGGGAGGGACTAGGTTTTAGGGATTTTCTTAATATGCTTCTTATTGATTTTGAATGAAAACCCAAAGTACATATTTATAAGGAATACGGGAAAGCCCTAATAATAAACCTAATTCTACTAAAAGACTACTAACCATAATCAGAATTACCGGAATGATAATTATAATAATAAATAGAGAAATCCTACAGAAATCAGTTTCTAACATCTCCTTCCCCTTGAGACCAACCTTGTCCTCATTGTTGCAGCTAGTTTGACAATCGTTCCACACCTTTGTTGCAATCAATCGACGTAGTCGCAACGTTTTCTTTCGCTTCCTCTTCTTCCAGTTCCAATCAAGCTTACGAGCAACTCCATCATTAGCAGTTCCATGTATGGAATACTCATTCCAGCTAGGCTTATTCCCCTTCTCGCGGCTGTTACCAAAATAGCTAAGTTGCCTGAAGTCGAACAAGTCCTGGAGATGATGGACAGCTACGGTTCCTTCCCTTTTTCCTTGACTTGGTACCTTACCTATAACCTCCATCCATCCTTGGTCCTTAGGCACGAAACCACACAACCTTTCATTCCCACCTCCATGCATTGAACAATCCGACCACCAATTTTCCAACCCATGCACGTCCAAACTTCCATGAACAATTAAATCCATCTCCCTCCTTATTGTACCATTTATACCAATAGATTCATTGTCATGACGGTCACAGTCATCACACATATCCCAAGCATGGAGACTGTCCAGCTCGAAGCAAAGTTGTTGCCATTGAACATATCCCGCCCGTACCATATGGCAACCAAGACCCCTTCCCTGTAGTTCTGAACAATGTAAGGAAATGTCATGGAATCCGAAGAAGTCATTGCCCACAGCTTCTGAACTCTCACCACAAGCTTCTTCCACCGTCTTCTGCTGCTGGCTAGGGTACCGGTACGGAGGCCCCTCCACAGACAAGGGTTCCTCAGTTGCAGCACTACACTTCTTTTGACTCTCGATCACAGCCGGCTTGCACGTTGGAGGGAAGTGGGCGATTCGACCAGCAGAGCTCGACATCACAAATAGGATGATGATCAATAGCAATGGCATGCTGGTCGAGCCACCTGCCTCCTTCCCAAACTTGGGCAAAGTTCCGAGGCTCGGGTCGACGATTGCCAACAGCTCGTGGAGGGCTGATTTGGCAATCCTTTCGATGGCCAATGATATAGAGATAAGCTTCAACTTTACAGCTTTGGGTTCTTGTTGGCCATCCGCCTTCGACCACAAAGCATCCCGCCTTCTTGTTTCCCTTTTCCAGGCAAAAAACACTTGGCGATGACTCGAGCTTTGTTGTAGGATATCTTCCCACTTGGTGTTGGATTCGGAATCAAGGTTCCTAACTTTAATCAAGGTTCTAAAACGTGGTCCCTAACTTTAATCAAGGTTCCAATCGAGGCGGAAGCTCCATTCTCATATTGAACACCCTTTCTTATTGCAGTGGCATACTCACCGGGACCAGGTCTGCGTTTGGGAGTGGAGTCATCTTCTTTAGAAACACTTACAGTCGCGGGATTCCCTATAGCGGTAGCCTCAAGAATAGCAACCGCAGCGGCCACTTCTCGTTGAGTCCCATTATCGCCACTCTCCTTCTGCTCATCCTCTTCCAGCCGCGAGCACCGCACCAGGCGCCGGAAAGTAGGCTCCGGAGACAAGTTGCTCCGCCTCTCTTCTCTGTCCCTTTTGAACGACGTCTCGACCAAAGTCGTCGTCATTCGCTGCGACCCTCCAGCGATTCGCAACTCCGTTGAGGCACTAGTCGCAGACAGCTGCTCGTTGGCCCCACCAGCCTCTACGGTCGGAGGCTGCCTCACTGTCGCGTCGCCACCTCCGTCCTTCAAGTCTGTCGTCCCCCGACGCAACGCGTAGGCCTTCCAATACTCCACGATATTCCATAGTTTTTCCTGCTTTTGAGCCCACGACAGCTTTGATATGTCGGTTGAACTCATCTGGATTTGATCTGGTAAGAATCTGTCCCTGAGAGAGTTGTGACAAACTCACCTTTTGGAACCAGGCTCTGATACCAGATGTCAGAAACAAAGTTTCTAGCGAGATTCGGATTAGGTGATATTTGAGAATTTAGGGATTGAGAATATAGAATTAGGGATTTGGAGAAGAATTGGGGGAAGAATAATGGCCGGCGGCCGGATTAGGGAAAGAAGAGAAATTGAGAGGATTTGGGGAGAGATTAGGGTTTAGGAATTTTCTTAATATGCTTCTTATTGATTTTGAATGAAAACCCAAAGTACATATTTATAAGTAATACGGGAAACCCCTAATAATAAATCTAATTCTACTAAAAGACTACTAACCATAATCAGAATTACCCTAATGATAATTATAATAATAAATAGAGAAACCCTACAGAAATCAGTTTCTAACAGCAAGTGTATTGAATGCACCAAAAAAACCAGTGCACCGAAAACAAGATCATACATACATACATACATATGAGTACGCCCGACGTATGATATACTATTCACTTTCAGGATGCCTTGGTGGTGGAATGATAGACACTCAGAGATTGAAAATTTTGTGCTAAAGAGTGTGGAGGTACGAGTCCTCTTCAAGGCTTAATATTGAGTATACCCATTGAATAAACAATTCAATAAGATATATTGGATTGAATGATCACTATTGATATACCGATTTCATATGAGATCTTTGAATTAGAATAAGTTTGGCAACAAATCACGAAATCTTGGTGATCTTCCCTATCTAATGAAGGGGCCTGTTTTAAAAGCGTCCGCACTGCAACTACCCCCCCCCCCCCCCCCCCCCCCCCGAGTATATACTTCAACATCCCTATGAATTGATAGTCTCCAATTCCTAAAACATATTATGTAATTTACTTTATCTGTTGACCTGTTGAGTTACTGAATTAACAGTTTATCAGTGATTTCTATAATATCATGTGTAGTTCCTGTTGAATGTAGATACGGTAGAACCAACTTATTACCGACTAGGAGGGCACGAAATCCTTTGCATCTAGAATCAATTTATTGCCCTAGTATAGCAAAGGCTAGAGTACGCCTGATGTATGATATACTATTCACTTTCAAGATGCCCTGGTGGTGGAATGATAGACATTCTAGACTAAATTTTTTGTGCTAAAGAGTGTGGAGGTTCGAGTCCTCTTCAAGGCTTAATATTGAGTATGCCCATTGAATGAACAATTCAATAAGATATATTGGATCGAATCATCACTATTGATATACCAATTTGATATGAGATCTTTGAATTGGAATATGTTTGGCAACTTATCACGAAATCTTGGCAAACTTCTCTACCTAATGAAGGGGGTTTGCTTCAAAAGTGACCGCACTGCAACTACCCCTGAGTATATACTTCAGCATCTTTATGAATGGATAAGTCGCCAATTCCTAAAACGAATTATGTAATTTACTTTATCTGTTGACCTGTCGAGTTACTGAATTAACAGTTTACCAGAGATTTCTATTATATCATGTGGAGTTCCTGTTGAATGTCTATTTGGTAGAACCAACTTATTACCGACTAGGAGGCCACGAAATCCTCTGCATCTAGAATCGATTTATCACCCCCAGTATATCTCAATCTTATCTCCATTTTACATCTCTCACATGACAAGGAAAAAGCAAACCAAACCTCTTATTAATTACTTGGTATGGAACGATCCATACACCAAACATCTTCCTCATAGGAGAAGATAAAGGATACAAAACAAGTACGCACATATAAACACATGAAACAATATGTACCTATCCATTGCACAAACACCATCATGATCATCCAACAAGAGCATATTTCACTCACGGATAAACTTCAATTATGGATCGCAGGCCCAAGATTGGAGTGATTTTGTAGTCACGAAAGCCCGCAGCAACGAAGAGTTTGGCCCATTCTTTCTCGTCCCTTTCCCGGCCCGTCACCAGGATCATCATCAACATGTCGAAGAAGAGCTGCGTTTCAATGGACTCGTCGTCTGCCTTTTCCTTTTGGTTCTCCACCTTCATGTCAATGATCATCACTTTCCCTCCTTCCCTCCCCTGGATCGCTTCTTTGCTTTTCTTCAGGATTTTCACGCATTCCTCGTCGTTCCAATCATGCAATATCCACTGCAAAAAAACGACAACATTCATAATATTGAACAAAGACCTCAATGGTGGGCGGCAAAATTATTCATTAATATAGATCGTTGGGAAGATGTATAAAAGATTCGTTAAATAGTGATCACTTTTCTTTATTTCTCTAATTGGGAGATGTGTAAGACATTATCATATGCGCTTAAATTGATTATTTTTCTCCGTTTCTCTACTTGAAATATGTCTAAAACATTAGTAATACCAATATTGTTTAGTTTGTTGACAAATAAAACTCATGAAGCATACATGCCATACTAAATTGTTCAAAATTTCAAAACAAGTGATTTTTTTTACCTAACCTTTCAATTGATCATCAACTTTAATTATTAGGAGGGGTTTAACCACTCCTAATTATAGGATCTTCTCCCCAACTCTAACAATATCTATCTTATTATTATTATTACCATTATAATTACAAGAGTCAGACCGGTGTACTATCGAGTATACTATACTCCATATACTCTTAGTGAGATATCTCTATCTAGACTATAAATTAAACCGAATTTGAGGTATGATACTATGAGCACTTCTACTATGCTATAAAGCATGGGTGCTTTAATGTACAACTTAAAGTTGTACCATAACGTAAAATGTATAAGTTTGGGTTGTACCATAAAGGAATTTGTACACTTATGTTTTGGTACAACTTCACAACTTTAAATTGTATCATCACATAAAGGTACAAGTACTTCAAGTTGTACCATAATTTTTTTTGTAAAATAGGATAGGTACAAGCTGAAGTTATACCATAACGTTAAAGGTACAACTTGAAGTTGTACCATAAAAGTAAAAACCTATAGCACCAATGCTATATAGCATCGTAAAATTTCCCATGATACTATATCATAACCTCTAATGGATAAACCCCAGACCCTGATTCTTTAAATTCAAACTCGAAGCTCAATTAAATAAAAAATATTAATTGACCGTTGAAATTTGTCGGAACTCGTCAAAACACATATAACGCCAAATCACCTGAGTATACCGACTACCCTAATTATACTATACCTTCAAAAGGACGCAATCGGCAGCGGGGATATCGACGAACATGTCCCCACCAACAAACTTCAAATTCCCTTCCCCTTGCAACCCCTCCACTACGTGCGGCAAATCCAGCACCGTGCACTCCAGCTCCGGGAACGCTGCCGCGATCGCCTTGGCCACCGTCCCCGTCCCGCCGCCGACGTCCACAAGCGAGCCCAGCCCCTCGAACGCGCCCCGGAACTCGCTGACCAGCACCGTGGTGACGAGCCGTGCGTCGCTGGCCATGGCGTCGTTGAAGAACCCGTTGAGACCCGGCTGGCCGCCGGCGAAGTCCCAGAACGTGGCCCCGTGGGCGGTCTGGAACGGCGTCGGATCGTGGTTGCCGAACCACCTGCTGACGTGGTGCCAGGGCTTGAGGAGGATCGGGTCCAGCATGGCCATCAGGAAGGGAGTCACGCTCAGCGGGTTGTCCGGCAGGAGGAGCTGGGACGCGTCGGTGAGGACGTAGCCTTCTTCTTCTTCTGCTTCCTCTCCTTCTCCGTCGTTGACTTTGGCGACGGCGAAGAATCCGGAGTGGACGAGGAGGCGCATGAGGCGGGTGACGGAGTGGGTCTTGGCTGGGGTGACGGGGATGGCGGCGGCGAGGTGGGAGAGGGTCATGGGCTTGCCGTGGCGGTGGATGGCCTCCGGGATGCCGAGCTCGATGGCGCATTTTAAGGAGGTGGAGTTGATGAAATTGAAGATGTGGTTCCATATGTGGGCTTGAGCTCGCAGCAGCTCCGCGTCGTGCTTCCCATCTCCCAAGTTTAGCATTTTTTTTTCCTAGCTTCTTCTTTACAGTGGCTATATTACTTCAGGAGTTGGGAGTTTAGTTTGAGGATAGAGGATTCTGAGTGATCGATCGCTATATATATATATTGCCTTAAACAGAAACTCGAGTGAAATTCAGGGTACTACATACTTTGAGTTTGAAAAACTATCTAAATCTCGAATCATATATATATATATAATTCTAACTTACGCATGAGTAGTGTTGGCAATTTCTGATATGATTCGTGCTACGTACGTAGTGTTAGTGTTGTGGTATATGATCCACGATTGAACCTCTCCCAACAACTCGAGTTATTGGGATCAACTGGTTCTTGACATGATATCAGAGCTTTCTGTGACCGAGAAGTCTTGTGTTCGATTCCCGATGACCCCCATTTGTTAAGCACATGATAGACGTGTTAGTGTTGTGCTGATCTGATCTGTTTGGATATGCCTCACATTTATATACCCACCCATCATCGCTACCAGCTGAGGCGGTAGGAATAGGAATAAGTGTGAGCATTAGCCGACGATATAAGTCTGGCCCTATCGATCACATCAATTATATACAGCGGAGCGCGGCAGAGCTCAAAACGGGTAATTTAATGAGTGGTTCTGGCCGGACAACGAACTATGAACCACACAACCATCATGTTCCAGCAAAGAAAGAATAGGATATATACCATATTTGCACGGCAGAGATTTGGGGGGAGCTAAAACAGTAGGGCCATGCATCTAGATGCCATGTGACAGGATACGCCCATGCTGCTAAACTCCAACCAAACTGTGATTCATGCAGTATCATATCAATCAAATCCTCCTATAATAAATATATATAGTTCAGGCTAGCGTATGTCAGGCATACGTTGTACGTCTCTCGAGTTTTACTATTTAGAGCACAAATTAACCCAATCCCTATAATTCTCTAACTCAAGTCATGAGATTCATTTAATCTAAAAAATAATTGATGGTTCTGATTCAGCGAAATATATTGAAGTGCAAAAATCAAGTGTGAACACAAGCGTACAACGTACACCTTACGTACGCTAGCCTTCTACGGTACCCCGGATCCACATACCTTGAATATGAAAACGTTATCTAGACCTCGAATTAGCATGATTTTTGGGCATGAAATTATACCCTAACTCTTAATGAGTGAATCCTAGGTCCTAATTATCTAAATCATAAACTATAAACACTAAGATGGTGCATTGATTTTTTTGCCTATATTTGGACGAATCATGACCGTCGATTATTGTTTCTAATTAAATTGATCTTGGGGTATAAGATTTAGAGAATTAAGACCTAGATTTTGATCTTTAAGAGTTAGGGTGTAGTAGCATGTCCGAAAGATCAGTCAATTTAAGTTTTAAATAGTGTTTTCTTACTCAAAGTATACAATACCCCGAATTTCACACTGAATACCGTAGAACTCTCTGTATATATTTCTGGCAATCGGGCTGTCCTGCTTACGAGGGAACTAGAGAATATGTGCTCACATGGCTCAGATTCTCAGTACAATTTTACTAGTCGAGATCGACGGTCCAAAATGAAGGGTTTTGGAAAGGGCTCATCAAATGTGAGAAGAGCCGAGCTCAGCCGTGTGAGCACATGTTCACTAATTTCCTTGTGAACAGAATAGCAGGATTGTGTTTCTAGAACATCAAAATTTCCAAACCAACTTGGTCCTATTAGATTGTTATTTTTCTGGTAAATATATTAGTTTTTGTATTCATCTACTTGTTAAAGGGAAATGGAAAAAAAAAATACATTCCATTAATAGATATAAATTTAAAAAAAGGTGTTTCCTTTAGATATATAGTTCCTCTTTTATTTTTCTAGCTTTTTTTCCCAATAAATGTCAATAGAGAGAATTATACAATCTACCCGAAAACCTCCCAACCCACTACATCAATGAAGCCACCCAACAAAGTCGAAAGAACATAACTCAAGAGGAGAAAGTAACAGGGCTTTCCGCGCCACTCTATGGACAACCCTGTTAGCAATCCGAGGAACTGCCCTAAACTCTAAGGAGACAGAGACTGAAGATAGGAGAAGGAAACAATCCCAAAGCATCGGTCCTCCGAGGGAATCAGAAGAAACACCTTGACGTAGTTGACGAATCACCACTTCTGAATCACCTTCGATGACGACACGAGGAAGGGATTTGGAGACCAAAAGGGAGACGGCGTCCCTAGCTGCAAGAAGTTCCGTGGGGTAGGGATCAGCAATGGCAAGTTGCTGAAATCCTACTGCCAAAGCTACATGCCCGTTTGTTCCACGAACCACTAGAACAGACGAACAACCGGAGTCACGAACTGCAGCATCAAAGTTGATCTTCATAAAACCATCGGGAGGAGATTGATTATGAAGATGTCAAATAAAGCAAGTTGCTCCGAAACACAAATTCGAAGAGGGGTAAACACAAGTTTTTAGTACTTCTTACCATGCGTTCAAGATATGATAACTAAGGATGGCAATTTGAATCAGTTTTGTTGGGTATTATCCGATCTTATTTGTGATTGGGCGGGTTTACTCGATCCGTAGTAGTGTGGGGCAACGCATGAGTAACTACTTCCGACCGGTTCTACCCCATCCTGTCCAGCTTTTGGCTCATTCTATCTTAATTTCTTACAATATTTATTCATGTTTCTCAAATTTTGATTTTTCTTCAACTAGTTAGATTTGGTATTTCAACTAGTTAGACTCATTTACACATTCTATTGTCACTTTTTTTCATTCAAAAGTGTTTTCCCTTCGCTTTATCATAAAAAGTAAATTGTGTGTCTATTTTTTCAAATGACACGTAAGAGTGAGTCGACCTACCCGACCTATATCCGCGCGGGTATTACTCGACCCGACTTACGCTTGGTGTGGGGCAAGAATATGATATTGATCAGATACCCATCCCGCCTCACCCGTTTGCCATCACTAATGATAACTTGACCTTTTTTACATTGTATTGTAGATTTGACATAGCGCATTATGTTAATATAATTATTACATAACACTAATGTAATGTTTGTTAGTCTTAATAGTTAAAGAATGATGTTACGTAAGACTTTCGTAATGGTTTAACACTTTAAATAATGCAAGGTTAATATTCATTATGTAAAGGGATCGTCCATTACGTAAAGGTGTTGTGTTGTTCATTACGTAAAGGTTATAAAATGATAGCTATTTCTAACGTAATGACTTAATGCATTACGTAACTTTGATTAATACTCGTAATGTAAAAGGGTCATCCATTATATTGACAATGATATCTATTTTCAATATATTTCGAGAATTTTTTTTGTATCACTCATTACCACCCTGGTATTACCTTCATTTTTAACTCGAATTGTGAAATTTTTTGCCCGGAATGAATGAGTTTATCGTGATCTATGGGATCTACAAATGTGTGGTAAAAAAATTTAGGAACAAATATACCATCATATACCATCACAATATAGCATAGTAATTGGTGGTAGACATTGATACAAAATGGTAAATGACCATTAGTAGAAGGTATAGGGTGATAATTGGTAGTAGACAGTAATGAAAAATGATAAATGGGCATTAGTATATTCCTACTATCATTTATACAATCATTCTATACTTTAGTATATTTATACTACCGATATCATCTTTATACTACCAAATAAATGTGTCTTCTACGGTACTCCGCGTGAAATCCGGGGTACCACATACCTTGAGTATGAAAACACTATCTAAACCTTGAATTAGCAGGATTTTTGGCATGATACTATACCCTAACCCTTAATGAGTGAACCCTAGATCCTAATTATCTAAATCATAAACTATAAACCCTAAGATGGTACATTAATTTTTTTGCCTATATTTGGACGAATCATAATTGTCGATTATTATTTCTAATTAAATTAATCTTAGGGTATAATTATCTGAATAGCGTTTTCTTACTCAAAATATGCGATATCCTGGATTTCACCATGAGTACCGTAGAACTCCCAAAGTAAATATCTCATTTTAATTTGAAAAAGTGTAAGTTTTTATTAGGATGCAAGAATGACCATCAACTTAAAAAAAAAAAAAAAAAAACTAATTAAGTTCTCCTAGATCATTCAATTGTCTCTCGTGGAAAGAGAGATACTTTCCTACCTTATTTTCATAATTTGGTGCCATTATTTTCCTATTTGCCAAAATGACTTCCATTCCCCTAGATTTAGCGTCATCATTCCTCTTCACTTAATCAAGTCCTTCAATACTATTCAACATAACTTGATGTTTTCGTCTATAATTTGTTTTCCCCAATGGTCTCGATCAACCCTCCCTACATCGAAATAAGATTTTTCTGATATATTTGAACATAATCTTTTCGACATCTATAAGTTTTGACATGTAATATTAATGAACCATAAATAAACTATTTGAACAATTATTATCATGAAATATAGGCTTCCCCGAAAAAACCCTGTAGCAACTAGCAACAAAACACCGAGTTGTGGCGATGCCATAGTTGCCATTCAAAGCAGAAAAGAGACAGCATTATCTGTCTGCTCTGGTAGCAGTAAACACCAAGATCAACAAAACGATCACTACATACATTCAACTGTCTGCTGCTCTGTCCAACGACGATACCGTGTCATATTTATACATTCTCCAGAATCGTAAGGCGCAGTATCTTGGAACCAACTGTGTTCAAAATGGAAAATAAGAAAGCACGGAACAGAAACCATTCGTTTCCCTGTTACATCCCTCCCTCGCCCTTTCGAAGAACCGACCAATGCTATTTAGCAGACTGCTGAAGTGGTGAATCCCTGGAAGACTCAGTCTTACGAGAATCTGCTGTAGCAGTAGATTTAACACTGCTGTTGGGGGTTCCATGAGCAGTTAGCCTCTCCATACCGATTTGAAGGTCAGTAAGCGAGTCCTTCGAAACTTTTCCTTTGGGAGTCTTCTTTCCCTCGACAAGCTTGAATTCCAACTTGTATAGAGCACATGAAGCATCGCTGTTCTTGACCTGGTACTCGTATAGATGCCACTCTTCACTGCAGGAAGGCTGAGGGTCCATGTAATAAGATCTCTTCTGGCACCCCAATGTCATGTCCTGCTTCCTGGATTCATGCCAGCGCCCTGAGTAGTCTGGCAGCGATCTCTGCTTCCTACTTCCAGAGTCGTAAGCCCTCCTAGGCTTATCAAAAAATAGCCACTCTCGAACAGTTTCCCCTTCACATAAAGAAAGATCAAACAGTTCTGCAACATTGGAAAAAGACTAAGGATTAGCCAAACTGAACCATGTAGAGGTTGAACAGCTTGCTCTTTTATACTAAAGTCACACAGTGAAATCAAACGTAGCAAGCGTAGGGATCAGGAAGTGATCTTGACCAGCTCATCCTTCATTCATAGATTGTAATCAGTAGTGAACCAGATCAAAGATACAAGTGGAACAGGGTACAATAGAAGCTTACCAGTGGCGTTCCATGGTGATTTTGCATTAGCAGCTCCTTCACATTGAGGAATACCAACATCGTTACCCTGTATCCTTGCAGTAAGAGCATCAAAGAGAAAATTGTCCTTCACACCAATTCCCTTGGGTCGTAGAATTGGTCTCGTTCCTGGGCAGCCTTCACTCACAGCTAGCTCACCATGGAAGCTGTTACAGTAGTCCTTATATGGTTCAGATCCTTTAGCTGGTCTGGTACAGTCCCAGAGTGCACATTTGGGACCCATGAAAGCTGAAGGAGGAGGGCTAACATATGATGGTTTGCTACATTCAGTACTGTTTTCACAGACATCGTTAGTATTATTGCCAATGTAAAGCCCATGACCAAGGGCTTCATCCAAAATGAAATTATCGCCCTCCAGGAAGGTATTCATATCCGGGGTTTTAACCATGATACTCTCAAATTCATCAGAAAACCCGCTGGGTTGATCAAGCCCTTCAAAATCTTGCTTCAAAGTGTCAGCATTTCCAAAGGAACCCTGAAAAGTAAAGGTTCACTTATCAGTTACCATCAACTAGATTGATACATGAACAGAAGTCTGGAGTGAAGAACGCTTCAGTTAAATCTGCACCGTGCATATAACATCAGTTAAAACTTTGATCATTTTATTCTCCTGCATCGAAGATAGAGAATTGACGAAAACATTATTTATAGAAGGTCTACACAATGTTTGAATAACTAAACATGCTTTGGGTACAAATCTAAATACCTCATGGCAGCAGTATAGAGCAAAACCCATATATAGGATTGAAGTAGTTTGAAATTGACATCAGAGCATTTGCCAAGAGAAAACAGTACAGCACTTCAAAGACGTTCAAGATGTAGATATAGACAAGGTACATCGGCTAACATTATCATTGAGCACACTTACAGCTAGTACCATTTATATCAAGTGCATAGAACCCAGTGGAATCTAGAAAGTACAGAAACTGATACGTCATTGTTCACTAGTGGATAGATCTATCGTCTACAACATGATGAATCTCAACAGTATGATTCAAGTAATATCTCAGGAAACAAGAAATAAGTCTTGTCACATAAAGAACTCAACGAAATTGTTATAATGAAAGTGCAACAACTTTCTGAAATATCCAAATGATCTTACATGATACGCTGTCAAATCACCAAGAGGAAGGCTTTCGGTATTCTGCTGTATACCGTGTTGAGGATCCAAAACTGCGAATTGAGTTAATGGACTGGTTGCATCATCTTCTTCCTCATACAATTGCAAGTAGCGGTTCAATTCATCAGAGAAGGATCCAAGATCACCGGCCTACAAAGTTTTTCATTAATAATGATTTCCATCTAAGATAACTTGGTCTTGGTTACACGCAACAATACTATCCCATTTAGAGGAATTGATGGTAACTGTCCACAATAATTGTTCAGAACTTGAAACTTCAAAATACTAACAAGCAAAGAGGAGGCAGGGCTCGGTGCCTCTACTTCAGCATTCCACTCACGGAGACTCTGTGACACTTGTTCCTCCAATACCACCACATCTCTTTGACGACCTTCCCTTCGAGCAGCTTGAAGATTAGAGAACCTCTCTTGAAGATCATTAAGCCTGTGCTTTACATTGTCCTTCAATTGACGGTGTGAAGTTGATGAGCAGTTACTTTTCTTGTCTTTCTGCATCGAGTCCTATCCTCCTGGGCGCAACAATGCAGTGTAGCCACACATCAAGGATATAAGAGCATTAGGCATCCCAGAAGTGGCAGAGACACGAGCTCTCAACTGACATAATTCCAAAGTACTATATAACCATTGTCATTGGCTCTGGAAACCATTATTAGGCATCCCTAAATACACAAACACCGACTGTACCCTGACTAAAAATGAAGAAGCATGACAAATCACAATGAACAAAGAAAAGACCAATTGATCGGGAGGGAAAAGGAATGACCTAGAAAAACTAACACACAGACGTACATAATCCAACACGTCTAAAGTTCGCCGGAATTCCCTAAAAGTGTACATTTAGAGGCATCATAAACCTCCATCGACCCGATTATAAACAAATCAATCGCGAAAAAGGGTTCACAGACGATGAAGCCGCCGACCTATAGAGAAAATTCCTAGAGGCTAGAAGCCACAAAATCATCAATCAATTTATGCAAGAAGGAGATCACAGAGAATAAGCAAGAGACAGAACGAAGACTACGTTTTACCACTTACCAGATGGAATAGCGTAGCGCAGTGAGAATTATGACGGAGAGGAAGAGCTCGACACGGCGGCGGCGGGCACAGAGCAAACGCAGGCTTCTCGGCGTCGCTTGAGTAGTTTGGTTATGGGAGTTAACAGAGGAAGAAAGCCATTTTTCTTCTATGCTGCTGCTGTGGAATTCGGCCGCTTGTTGCCAACGAAAGAGGAAGAAGTAAGCTTGGTTAGTGGAGAAGATGGGCCTCCTGATTTACTCACCTATTATGAATGAGTGAGCCGCGCTTCGCAGCGGGCCTCTTTTCCTCAATAAAAGATTGGGCTCTTTTATTATTACTAGCGTGCGACCCGGCCAGTTGGCCGGTAAGATATGAAATTTGATAATTTAATCGGGTGTATAGTTTAATGTTATGTAGTTTTTTTTGGAAAACACGTGATAAAAATAATAAATTTTAGCAGGAAAGAGACATGAATAATTTAAAAAATCAAAAATCGGCCTTATGAACCAAAATCAAGTATATGTTACCTTGTGAAACAATATTGTTTCTGGTAATATGATGAGGTGAAGTAAGTTTTATATAAACCGAATTCCATAAAATTGAATAAAAAATCACATATCTCGTCGGTTTTTGGGAAATTAGCATCTCACAATCATTGCTAGCTTTTACTCGGCCCGTTGGCCGATTAATTTGCTTTATAAAACTTTCATCTTGTCGTCATTGTGCTTTCTGGTTTTTGTCAGGCCATGATAAAATCTAAGAAATTCAAGAACGAACAACACGATTTGGGATAGGAACCGCCGTTGTCGTATCCCTATAAAATGGTGATAAACACGGACTCACCTGCCAAACTGGTTTGGATTGAGATTTTTATCGAGTATCAGAGAACCATGTGATTATAAATTAGACTTGATCAAAACGGGCCAAACTTGAAATTCAGCCTGTTTGACCGACCCATGCCAAATTCTAATTATTCTTTACTTTTAAAGTTTCTATTTGAAAATAAAAAATAGTGAAAGAAAAGAGATGACTGCAATTCGCCATTGGCACATCACTTATTCGGGAATAAAACTATAGAAATTCAAAAGGAACTGAAAATGTTTAGGATCATTTTAATGTTTAAAATAACCAAATAGATCTTTCTGTTTAGTTTTCTACTAACAAAAAAATGCCCGAAATCGGTGATAATACCCCTTTGGAATCTGCCAAAAATGGGGAACAAATACGCCCAAATCGGTGCTTAATAAACTTAATCGTTGGTGGAGGATATCCTCACGCTGAATTCTTGATTTGTAACCTTCAAAATCCAAAGAAAATGGCATTTTGAAAAAAGCGCACAAAAAATTACGAAAATGCCCTAGAAACTTTTTTGCCCAAATCGATGAGTAATTGACTTCATCATCGCTAAAGAATAGCCCCAGTTTGCCTCTGGCCGAATAGTGATCCGTAGCCTCCAAAATGCAACCAAAATTGTCATACAAAAAAATCACTAGAGATCGATGATGGCACTTTGGAATCTGTTAAAAATAGACCCGGAACAAATTCCCCCAAATCAGTGCATAATAGACTTAATCGTCGGTGGAGAATAGCCTCACGTCGAATCCTTGATCTGTAGCATTTAAAATCCATAGAAAATGACCATACGAATAAAGCAAACATAAAATTAGGAAAATGCCCCCGAAATTTTTTTGCCCAAATCGGGGATTAATTGACTTCACCAACGCTGAAGAATAGCCCCAGTTCACCTCAGGCCGAATCCATGATCCGTAGCCTCCAAAATCCAACCAAAATGGTCATACAAAAAAATCGCCCGAAATAGGTGATAGTACTACTTTGGAATCTGTCAAAATGGACCCAGAACAAATACCCCTAAATCGATGCTAAATATACTTAATCGTCAGTGGAGGATAGCCTCACGTCGAATCCATGATCCGTAGCCTTCAAAATACAAGAAACATAACCATTTGAAAAAAGCGCACAAAAACATACGAAAATGCCCCCGAAATTTTTTTTGCCCAAATCAACAATTAATTGACTTCATCTTCCCTGGAGAATAGCCACAATTCGCCTCAGGTCGAATCTGTGATCCGTAGCCTCCAAATTCCAACAAAAATGGCCAATCAAAAAAATCCCCCGAAATCGGTGATGGTACCCCCTTGTAATCTGCCAAAAATGGACCCAAATAGGTGCTTAATAGACTTAATCGTCGGTGGAGGATAACCTCACGCCGAATCCTTGATCCGTAGCCTTCAAAATCTAAGGAAAATGGCATTGAGAAAAAAGCGCACAAAAAATTACGAAAATGCCCCCTTATTTTTTCTGCCTAATTAGCAATTAGTTGACTTCATAATCGCTGGAGAATATATTTAGTTCGCCTCAGGCCGAATCCGTGATCCGTAGCCTCCAAAATCCAACCCAAATGACCATTCCAAAAAACGCCCGAAATCGGTGATGGTACACCTTTGGAATCTGCCAAAAATAGACCCTGAATAAATTCCCCAAATTGGTGCATAATAGACTTAATCGTCAGTGGAGGATAGCTTCACGCTGAATCCTTGATCCGTAGCCTTCAAAATCCAAAAAAATGGTCTTTCGTAAAAAGCTCACGAAAAATTACGAAAAAGCCCCCGAAAAAATCTTGCCGGAAATCGGCAATTTATTGAATTCATCGTCGCTGAAGAAAAGCCCCAGTTTGCCTCAGGCAGAATCTGTGTTTCGTAACCTCCAAAATCCAACAAAGATGGTCATTCCAAAAAATCGATTGAAATCGGTGATGGTACCGTACCACCCTTTAGAATCTACCAAAAATGGACCCGGAACAAATATGCCCAAATCGGTGCTTAATAGACGTAATCGTCGGTGGATGATAGCTTCACGCTGAATCCTTGATACGTAGCCTTCAAAATCCAAGGAAAATGACCTTTCGAATAAAGCGAACGCAAAATTTCGAAATTGCCCCCGGAAATAATATCGCTCAAATCGAAGATTAATTGACTTCATCATCGCTTGAGAATAGCCCCAGTTCGCCTCATGACGAATTCGTGATCCGCAGGCTCCAAAATCCAACCAAAATGGCAATTCCAAAATATCGCCCGAAATAGGTGATGGTAACCCTTTGTAATCAGCCAAAAATGGACCCGGAACAAACACGCCCAAATCGATGCTAAATAGACTTAATCGTCAATGGAGGGTAGCCTCACGTCGAATCCATGATTCGTAGCCTTAAAAATTCATGAAAAATGGCCTTTCGAAAAAAGCGCGGGGAAATTTATGAAAATGCCCCCTGAAAAAATTTCGCCCAAATCGACGATTAATTGACTTCATCTTCGCTGGAGCATAGCCCCATTTCGCCTCAGGTCGAATCCGTGATCCGTAGCCTCCAAATTCCAACAAAAATGGCAAATCAAAAAAATCATCCGAAATCGGTGACGGTACCCCTTTGGAATCTATCGAAAATGGACCCGGAACAAATACTCTCAAATCGGTGCTTAATAGACTTAATCGTCGGTGGAGGATAGCCTCATGCCGAATTCTTGATCTGTAGCCTTGAAAACCCAAAGAAAAGGGCCTTTCAAAAAAAGCGCACAAAAAATTATGAAAATACCGCGAGATTTTTTTTTTTGCCCAGATCGGCGATCAATTGACTTTATCATTGCTGGAGAATAGCCCAAGTTAGCCTCATGCCGAATCCGTGATCCGTAGGGTCCAAAATCCAACCAAAATTGCCATTCCAAGAAATCGTCTAGAATTGGTGATGTAGCCCTTTATAATCTGACAAAAATGGACCCGGAACAAATACGCCCAAATCGATGCTTAATAGACTTAATCGTTGGAGGAGGATAAACTCACGCCGAATCCTTGGTCCGTAGCCTTCAAAATCCAAGAAAAATGACATTGAGAAAAAGCACAAAAATATTACGAAAATGCCCCGGGAATTATTTTTGCCCAAATCTGCAATTAATTGATTCATCGTCGCTGGAGAATAGTCCTAGTTCGCCTCAGGGTGAATCCGTGATCCGTAGCCTCCAAAATCCAACCTAAATGACCATTCCAAAAAATTGCCTGAAATCGGTGATGATGCCCCTTTGGAATATGCGAAAATAGACCCAGAACAAATTCCCCCAAATCGGTGTATAATAGACTTAATCGTCGGTGGAGGATAGCCTCACTCCGAATCCTTGATCCGTAGCCTTCAAAATTCAAGGAAAATGGCCTTTCCAAAAAGCGGACAAAAAATTACGAAATGCCTCCAGAAAAATTTCACACCAAATCGACAATTAATTGATTTCAACGCTGGAGTATAGCCCAAGTTCGCCTCTGGCAGAATCTGTGTTCCGTAGCCTCCAAAATCCAACAAAAATCGTCATTCAAAAAAAATCTCCTGAAATCGATGATGGTACCCCCTTTTGGAATCCGCCAACAATGGACCTGGATCGAATATGCCCAAATCGGTGCGTAATAGACTTAATCGTCGGTGCAAGATAGCTTCACGCTGAATCCTTGATACGTAGCCTTCAAAATCCAAGGAAAATGTCCTTATGAATAAAGCAAACGTAAAATTGCGAAAATGCCCCCGAAAAAAATTTCGCCCAAATCGGTGTTTAATTGACTTAATCATCGTTGGAGAATAGCCCCAGTTTGCCTCACGCCGAATCCGTGATCCGTAGCCTACAAATTCCAACCAAAATGGCCATTCCAAAACCGCCTGAAATCGGCGATGGTACCCCTTACGAAGCTGCCTAAAATGAATCTGAAACAAATACGCCAAATCGGTGCTTAATAGACTTAATCGTCGTTGTAGGATAGCCTCACTCCGAATTCTTGATCGGTGGCCTTCAATATCCAAAAAAGGCCTTTCGAAAAAAGAGGATGAAATATTACGAAAATGCCCCCGAAAATGTTTTTGCCAAAATTGGCGATTAATTGACTTCGTCATCGTTTAAGAATAGTCACAGTTCGCCTCAGGCTGAATCCGTAATCCATAGCCTCCAAAATCCAACCAAAATGACCATTCCAAAAAATCGCCCGAAATCGGTGATGGTATCTTTTTGGGAATCTGCCAAAAATGGACACGGAACAAATACGCCCAAATCGATGTTTAATAGACTTAATCGTCGGTGGAGGATAAACTCACGTCGAATCCTTGATCCGTAGCTTTCAAAATCCAAGAAAATGACATTAAGAAAAAAGCGCACGAAAAATTACGAAAATGCTCCTGGATATTTTTTTGCCCGAATTGGCAATTAATTGACTTTATCATCGCTGGAGAATAGTCTCATTTCGCCTCAGGCCGAATCCGTGATCCGTAGCTTCCAAAATCCAACCAAAATGGTCATACAAAAAAATCGCCCGAAATCGGTGAAGGTACC